AGCCAGCTGACCATGGACTTTTAAAAGCTCTAAAAACCATGAGCCAACATAAAACTTTGTTCCTTATAAATTGATTTTCTCAGGTATTTTACAGAGCAACAGAAAGCTGAAAGGAAATGATATAAACAACCCCAAATACAGCCTGCCACACAAGAACCCTCCTTTCTCTCCTAGTCCTACTCCTATCTGTGTGAACTCCTACTTTACACTTCAGACAAACTGCTGGCACGGAAAACCTTACAGTGAACTCCCTACTTCAACACAAAATAAGAAAAATGTGGCCTATTAATTAAATAAGGTTTCTAGTTAAACAATTTAAACTCTTATGAAGTTATTAAATATATTGTCCTAAATGCAAGTGCATGCTTTTAAGAAAGGCACAACTTATAATACCAATACTACTAGTAAAAAAAAAAATGCATACATATTTTCACTCAGAACACCAGATTTCAATACTGAAAAATATTAATAGTAGATACCTGTTATGGTTTGTATCTAGTTGTCCCCCCAGGGACGCATGCAGTCATAGGGTAGCTTCTGGAGTTTGTGATTGATTCCTGATCCAATGCTGGGACTGCAGATTTAAGTGCTACCCCTGGCCCTGGGGTGCTTGATCTGTATTACAATGTAAGGAGGGAAGAAAGGATAGCTAGCTGTTGGAGCTGCTGTCCCTCCCTTTGCTCTTTGCCAATGCCAAGAAGGGCTGCTCTCTGCCCTGTGCCACTCTGCCTTACAGTCAGCTGAGTATGAACTGAAAGCTCCACTAACTGTGAGCTAAATAAACACCTTTCTTTCCTTAATTGTGGGTTTTGGGTATTTGTCCCAGCAACAAGAAAAGAGTAACTAAGACAAGACTTTGTTCCTTACTTTTTTATATTTTCCAAAATTTCTACAATGAACTTATACTACTTTCATAAAAAAATCAAAGATTTTAGAATGAGATTATATTAAAGTTATAGTTAGTAAAATTTCTTTGAAAGTACATTAGAAAAGCAGTGCTATGTTGGAAGACAACATAGTTTCTCAATATGATAAATATAACACAGTCAATTTTTTTTCTATTTTCAAAACACTTTGTTTTTGTTATTTTCATGTTTGGCATCAGATATAAGGATTGGCAATTGAGACCTATGTTACATAAAAATATGGAGTTTTATAGCCAAAATGACACATAATGCAGCAAGATGCTCATGCCTTAAGAAATGAACTGGACAAACGGCAGATATATGACTCCTATTGCACTCTCAATAAGGACATATTAATTGTAGGTGGAATTGGTCCAAAACAATTCAAATTGGCCGGGAAGATGGCTCAGTAGAATAAGCACTTGCCAGACAGCAAACATTTTGGCCCTAACCTTTCAAGGTCAGCGAAGACTCAGGACATAGGAGAACTTATACTGTAACATCATGTAACTCAGTTGTGTCCCAAATTTTCTGATCAAGGAGATTATGGGGCCACAGAGCAATGTGATCCATGATGTAGTGTGTGCCTAAGGAGAGTCACATGGAGAGAAAACATTCTTTCAGGCTTTCACAGAGAGCAAATTGGTTAAGCAATGGCCATGACTCATCCACATGGCTGACACTGACAAAAGGATCTACAGAGTGTGGTACAGGGTTACAGGATAAATCCTGAGGGGATTTGACTGACCTTATCAGATACAAAAGATACATTTCTTGTTAAAGGTTTAGCTTTATCTTGGTCTTAACAATCCAGCAGAAAAATATAAAAATGAGGTATAAAAAGTAAAGCCAAATTAATATGCTCAGCTGTGAAAGGCTCAAGCCAACAACTTCTGACACTGTCAGTCTTATGGATAACCCAGTACTTTTATGGACTACTGGACTATATTGGATTATTTTGCTGAATTCACAGACCTATAATATTTAAATGGCAATGGAATACTCATCTTTAACAAAACTAAACAAAAAAAGGGGATACAAAGGAAGGACCATTTTGTATCTGTATATACAAAATAGGATAGATATATAGCTACTTTCTCTTAATTCAATGAGAAGAATGATTTGTATAGTATTTATTTTATTTTATTTTTTTGCTTTTTACATTATATATTTCTTTATTGTTTCTGGGCATTTTAAGTATATATTCTTCTGAAGTTAATAAAATACTCTGCAAAAAAATAGGATAATATAGATTTATACCTCTGGCTATTTTCAGATATTAAATAACTTTCTCTTATGTTGTCTGATAGAAGAATTCCTATTTACTTTAAATGATCCAATTCAATCATCACAATGTTTCTTTACGGTTAAGTAATGCCTGCTCCAAAATGCAAATTAGAATACTAACGTATCTTAAATACAAGTTACTTATTGATTTTTTTTTAACTTTTTTTTTTTTTTTTTTTTGTGGTACCAGGGATTGAACTCAGGACCCTGCGCTTGCCAGGCAAGCACTTATTCTACTGAGCTATCTCCCTGGCCCAAGTTACTTATTGGTTACCTTTTTTCTTTCTTTCTTTTTTTTTCCAGAATTGAGGATTGAACTCAGGCCCTTGCACTTGCCAACGAAATGCTTATGAGCCATCTCCCTGGTCCAAATAAAAGTTACTTAAATAGCTAGAAACTATACACCCATTCTTAGTATTTGGACAGGATATCATGTCTGCATCTTGTACTATGAATAACCACTAAGAAGATAACAATATGCAATGTATTAATTATTGAAACTGTCCT